ATATGATGGTTAGACAAATTATGAGGGCTGACTATTATTGGTTGACAATGAAAAGTGACTGTATTGATTATGCTAGGAGATGTCATAAATGTCAGATTTATGCTGACAAGATTCATGCTCCACCATCAACATTACACGTTCTAGCTCCTCCCTGGCCATTCTCAATGTGGGGTATGGATGTCATTGGTCCCATTACTCCAAAAGCTTTGAATGGGCATAGATTCATTTTTGTGATGATTGATTACTTCACTAAATGGGTAGAAGCTACATCATATGCTAGTGTAACCCGATCTGTAGTATGTAAGTTCATAAAAAGAGAGATAATATACAGATATGGGCTTTCGGAGACAATTATTTCTGATAATGCCAAAAACTTGAACAATAAAATGATGAATGAAGTATGCACTCAGTTTAAGATCCGTCATCGTAATTCGGCATCATATCGTCCAAAAATGAATGGGACAGTGGAGGCTACAAATAAGAATATCGAGAGAATCCTGGAGAAAATGACTGAAACTTACAAAGATTGGCATGAGAAGTTACCTTTTACCTTGCATGCTTATAGAACATCAGTCAGAACGTCTACTAGAGCCACACCGTTCTCTTTGGTATATGGTATGAAAGCTGTGCTACCAGTCGAAGTGAAAATTCCCTCACTGAGAGTCTTGATGGAGGTAGAGTTAGAGGAAGCAGAATGGGTTCAAAATCGCTACGAGCAGTTAAACCTCATATAAGAGAAAAGACTGTCAGCACTTTGTCATAGTCAATTATATCAAAAGAGGATGATGAGAGCACATGACAAGAAAACTCATCCCCGTTGCTTTAGGGAATGAGCTTAGTGTTAAAAAGATTCCTTCCAAATCAACATGATAATCGGGGGAAATGGACACCAAATTGGAAAGGCCCGTATGTGGTGAAAAAGGTTTTTTCTGGTGGGACATTGATTTTGGCAGAAATGGACGGAGGTGATTTACCTACCCCAATAAATTCAGATGTTGTGAAGAAATATTTTGCTTTAAAAAAAGAGAGAAAAAAATGATGACTTATCTAAGTTGAAAACCTAAAAATACGGCTTAGATGTGAAGCAAAAGCATTATCAAGAAAAGATCCCACAATGCAGGGGTAAGTGTAGTTTGACAAACTCTGAATAATCAAGGAAGTCATCTGATTTAGTTTTAGAGAAAGAATCTGAGAATATTTTATTCATGATTATCTTGTGATCATTCTTTTGACACCTTTATTTCAACTCAAACACTTTGACATACACTTGTTATCAGCCATAGGAAATACATTATCCTTCATTTGAAAATAATGCCTATCCTTTCCTTTATCCTTATCTGGTATTTTTTGTCCATCAGAGAAATGTGATTGCATTTTATTTGTCTTGAACTTAAAATGATGAAAAGAAAAACAAACATAAAAGATCTCAGCATTACTTTTAAAGTTGACAAAGGCAAATGAAAAAGCATGAGAAAAGCATGACAAGTCATTGATGTTGTAGACTTTTGAAGAAAAAATATTATGGTCAAATGTTGAAGACAGATTGGTCATATAAGAATTCGGATAAAAAAAGTCGAAAGCGAGAGATTTTGAGAACCTTTTTACTACAATGAACGATTTTGATTGCATTACATGCATTACATCATGAGCACTCAGTACATGCATCCATGAAAAGTTGTAACAAAGATAAAAACTTTCCTTTTCTTAATGAAAAAATGAGATTTTGGTAAAGACAATGATCAAACAAAGGAATTCAAAAGAGAGAGATTTTTAAAAAAAGAAAGAGAAGAAAGATTTTTAAAGTTGTGGAGCCTCTGCTGAGATGAGCTTTTTTTCAAGATGAGATTTTAAAGTTGTGGAGCCTCTGTTGAGAGGAGCTTTTTCAGATGAGATTTTAAAGTTGTGGAGCCTCTGCTGAGAGGAGCTTTTTTCAAGAGATTTTTAAAGTTGTGAAGCCTCTGTTGAGAGGAGCTTTTTCAAGAAAAAATTTTAAAGTTGTTGAACCTTTGGTGAGAGGAGCTTTTCCAAGATGAGAATTTTAAAGTTGTGGAGCCTCTGTTGAGAGGAGCTTTTTCAAGAAAAAATTTTAAAGTTGTTGAACCTCTGGTGAGAGGAGCTTTTCCAAGATGAGAATTTTAAAGTTGTAAAGCCTCTATTGAGAGGAGCTTTTTCAAGAAAAAATTTTAAAGTTGTTGAACCTCTGCTGAGAGCAGAAGAGCTTTTCCAAGATGAGAATTTTAAAGTTGTGGAGCCTTTGTTGAGAGGAGCTTTTTCAAAAAAAAATTAAAAAAAAATAAAAAAATAAAAGATTACGATTTATTTTCGGACAAAGTCGTTGTCTTTATCTTTGTCCTATTCCTGATTCTCAGTAATGTGTAAAGAGGGGCAGCTGTAGACACCAATTTTATCCGGATCTACTATTTTTTAATAATAATAATATTTTTAATAAAAAATTTATTAATAAACAAAAAAATAAACAAAAAAAAAAAAGAAAACAAACAAAAGAAACAGAATAAGACAGAAATCAGAGAGTTGGTACGGTGCCGCTGTCACCAGCCCCTGATCAGCCTCCCGACCAGCCACCCTATAGTCACCAACAAACTACCTTACAGCCACCTAAACCCTCTAAATCGAAACCCTTTAAAATACCCAGCCATCTTTCTCATTCCAGATCGGTCAGCTCTCGAAAAAAAAAATCCATTTTCAAACACACAGCTACCCTCCCTCAAAACACTCCCAAACACCCAAAATACCCAAACAGAAACCACACCAACCGAAAAAAAAAAGAAACGTAAAAAAAAAATAGAAACAAAAACCAAAACGAAATCACAGTCCTCCCCGTAGGGAGGAACCTCAGTTCCGAGCCACCTGCACCAACAAAGAAAGGTACCGGTTAGCTTTCGACACAAAAAAAAAGAAGAAAAAAAGTATACCAAAAACTTCAAAACCCGATCTACGCGAATCAAGGTCGTTTTTTATGAAAAGGAGGCCATATCTGTGCTCAGGAGGTAGAGAAGAGTTTGTGGGAGAATTTTGAGATTTTTCGACCACCGGTGACCGACGACCCAGGCGGCGGCCAGCGCGGTGATCCGGCGATCAGACGGTGGATGGCCAGACCTCTCTCCCAGCTCTCTCTCTCTCTCTCTCTCCCTTTTTTTTCTGAAACAGAAACCAAATGAACCAAAAAAAAAGCTTCAGATATATATAGTAAAGCCAAAACTCAAAATGACGTCGTTTAGGGAAAAACCCAAAACGACGCCGTTTTAAACAAAGAGGATCCGCGCGTGGACCCGAATCCGATCCGAGATCCGCGCAACCCGACTCAACGACCCGTTCCAACCAACCTTGAACCGGTTCATACGAACCGCCAGTGGACCGGATGAAACCGGTCAGATTGCCCGGACTGCCGATCCGATCGCTAGAACCGTCGATCCAACAGCCGAACCGGTCAGACCGCCCCGACCAACGTTGACCGGATCGTTGACCGGTCCGGTTCAAGTAAAAAAAATTTTTTTTATTTTTTATTATTATTATTTTTTGTTATTTTAAATATATTTTTATATTTATGCATGATAAATTTATAAATTTGTTAGAATAAATGTTTAATTGTTTTAATAATAAAAAAATTAAGAACAAATAATAATAAAAAATATATTAAAATGCTTTTAAAAAAATAATAATAATCTTTCCTACCTAGATGTTGGAGGGAATAAAAATATTTTTCTAAAACAATAATTCCCCCTAGATGTTGGGGAATTATTGTTAATTATTTTTCATAAATAAACATAAGAAATTTTTAATTAATCTTCAAAAATTATTAAAATCGAACTTGCTTAAAAAATTCGCCTAGATGTTGGGGATTTTTAGAGATGTTCGTATTTTCTTAAAAAACGAAACCTTAAGCACTATTTCTTAATCCATTAAATCCAAAACCCCCCGAAATCTAAAATCTTTGAAATCCAAAGTCCTAAAAAAAATCCTAAGGACACGTTTGAAAATTCTATTTGAAGCAATTTGTTCCCGAATGCTGCCTAGATGATGGGGTATTTAGGAAATTTTACTTCGTGAAGTCTTTTCACACGATTTCTTAATTCGTATTAATAATAAGATTAATAAATAAAAAGTATAATAAAATTGAGATCTTAAATATAAACAGTCGCATCTAAGCTCTGCCTAGATGTTGGAGAGTCGGGGTGGTCTCATTATATTTAAGAATCCAACTCTTAAATTGCATTTCATTTTACATGACATTCATTAGCATGATATACGTTAGCATGTTGTCATCAATAATTGATTGCATTACTCTCTCTTTAATTTACTGATAAAATATTTTTTTAATAAAAAAGAATAATACTAAAAAAAAAATCTTTTTGTGATATTATAAAATAAAAAAATAACATTCCGATAGAAATAATTCTTGGTACTCTGCCTAGATGTTGGAGAGTCACTAACAATTATTTCCTATAAAGATTGTTATTTTATTTTAAGGATTGTTGTATTAAATCTTAAGCGAAAAGAGTTATTTCAAATTCTGCTTAGATGTTGGAGAATTTTAAGATAATTCTTTAACTTAAAGATTTTCTCAATATTCCTAAACAAAAATTTTAGCAAAAAAATATTTTTTTCAAATGAAGGAAATTAATGTTAAATTTCAAATTAAAACAATTTTTATCCAACATCGAAAATAGCGCATAATTAAATGGTACCAATTTATGGGTGTTGTGGGGGTGCTAATCCTTCTCCACGCGTAACCGACTCCTGGACCCAACCTGATTTTTCGTAGACCGAAATTTATCTTTTTGATAAACTCTAAACTCGTTTTTATAATTTTATTAAAAAGATAAATTTTTTGGTAGCTAATCACACCCTAACAAAGATTGGTGGTAACTCTCTCTTTCTTTTTTTTTTTTTAAATATCTCATTTTTTACATCTGACGGTCCTAAAACCGTTACGACATATAGGGAGCAAGGCGTTGACCAGTTCTTTGTTGATGCTGCTCATGGAATTGGTTGTGTTGAGTGTTGACATTGATATGAAACAAATTGGGGCTGACTTTTACACTAGTAATTTGCATAAATGGTTCTTTTGCCCACCTTCAGTAGCCTTCTTGTATTTTAGAAGGTCTACAAATAACTCTGATTTGCATCATCCTGTGGTTTCCCATGAGTATGGGAATGGGTTGGCTTTAGAAAGTGCTTGGATTGGGACTAGGGATTATAGTGCTTAGTTGGTTGTTCCAAAGGTTTTGGAATTTATCAATAGGTTTGAAGGCGGCATTGATGGAATCAAGAAAAGGAACCATGAAGCAGTTGTTGAGATGGGGAATATGTTAGTGAACGCATGGGGAACTCATCTTGGTTGTCCTCCGGAGATGTGTTCTAGCATGGTTATGGTCGGTTTACCTGCTTGTTTGGGAATTTCAAGTGATCAAGACGCATTGAAATTACGAACAAATTTACGGGGCAAGTTTGGTGTTGAAGTTCCAATATATTATCGAGCACCAAGGGATGGAAAGGTTGGTCCAGTAACAGGGTATGCTCGAATTTCTTATCAAATTTACAATAAGGTTGACGATTATTACAAGTTCAGAGATGCAATTAATCAACTTGTTCAGAATGCATTCACATGTGCATCTCTTGCAAATTGATAAGGTTTGTGCTACTGTTTTCATCATTTTTGGCTATTGGTTTATGATTATAGAAATATTTCTTCTCTTCAGTTACCATTCATGAATTAAGTGTTTTTGTTGCCCATGCCATTGTCTTATGCTGAACTTTGCATGTTAGATCTAACTCCCTGCTGAATTTTGTTGCTAATAGATATAAACGTGAATATTACCTGAGTTTATATTGTACTGAGCAAAGCCATGGACATTTTAACTGCACAATGCATTTTAGAGATGGTGTTACTCCTTTTTTATAGCATTATGAGGAAAAAAAACTTAAAAATCTTAACATCTTTAAATAGACATACAAGTGGCCGGGTCAAGCCAAACCATCAGATACCTTGTTCAGAGTAACGTTATCATGATCCCTTGGTTGAAATTTCAAATCAACAAAGTTCAGTTTCCAATTAAATCAGTTATGTAGCTGGACTCTAAACACAGTATAGTGGTGCTGTTCAGTAACGATTATTTTGTAAATAACCAGTTGTTGCGATAATTGGTGGTGCGCATAAGTCAGAGCAGTGTTTGCTGTGATATTGGTTAGTGCATTCACAAATGCCCCTATTGTTTTAACAATCTTCATGCATTCAACAAATTCTTAGATCTGATTTTAATCCTTACCTGCATTTGAGGTTTCATCATTATTCGAAAAATTATGGAAACATTGTATATCATTGTCAATTAAGGGAATAATGGATAAGAGGTTAGTTTGTCGAAGCAGGGCCCTTCTCCCATGCTTTTATATTCTAAGGGGCAAATTCAAGTAGTTTTTAGTCTTGGTGTTGTGGAACCTCTTAAACCTGGGTATGGACAAGTGTCTCTTGACATAAAGGCTTCTTGCAAAAGAAACATTCTATGTAGTTAAATCCCCGAAGAAAGAATGCTTTATTTGTTTATTTATTTGGTAACTGAGTAGGTATTAGTAACATCTGTTTCTCCGTTTGTGAATTTATGGAACATGGAAATCCTTGTATCTGGCTAAATAATGCTATAAGTTGTGAACCTGACTCAACTACTTATTTATTTGTTTTGTTGATATGGTACTGCTCTACTTATGTGCAGCTGAACAATGTGTGGTACTAGTCTTTTGATGGAATAAGAGCCAGGGTCGTCAACATGGCTTGAATCACCTGTGTCATGGTTTCGGTACCATGATCTTCCATAATTTCCGTACGGAGGCAAGTAGAGACATGCTTTGGAGCTTAGTTTAGTATTTGCTTCTCTTTGATGCATCTAAATTGCTGAAGGAGATAAACTTGTGTGTTGGTTGGGCTCTAAGACAGCATTTTGTACATGTTCAATGCCCAATTTTAATATGCTCTCATTGTACATGTTCAATGCCTAATTTTGTCCTGTTGTACTGTACCTACTGTTTTCATTTGCACATGGAATGGTGTCCAGTTGGTGGGTCCAAAGGTTTTGTACGTAATTAAGAGGTTTGCAGGCAACATTGGTGGATGATCAAGAAAAGGATGCATGAAACTGTTGTTGAGATGGGGAGGTGTTGGTCACAGCATGGGACATGGTTAAGGGCGGTTTTGCCTGCTTCTTTGGGAATTTCGAGTGACCAATACACTTTGAAATTACCAACATATTCATGGGACAAGTTTGGTGTTGAAGTATATTATCGAGAACCAAGGATGGGGAGGTATGCCCGCTAAGTAACAGGCGTATGCTTGAATTTCTTATCAATTTTTACAAGGTTGACCATTATTACACGTTTAGGATGCAATTAATCAACTTGTTTATAATGCATTAACTTCTGCATCTTCAGGCAAATTCCTCTTCCTCCCTGAGTAAAAATCTCACATGATTCAGCTTTTGAATTTAAATAATGTTCAATATGTATGAATAAAATTTTGATGTGTTCTTAAATTTTTTATGTGTTCTAAGTTTGATTTAATTTTTTTAACACGTGACATCAAATGATTTGACTTAAAATCCATTTAAATAAACGATGAAATTAAAAATAATGATAAAAGTACGATCAATATAATTATAAGATTGAATATTATAATGATGAAATTAAAATTAATGGTAAAATATGTATTTAGAAGTAAAAGTAACGATAATAGTAAGATAAAATTTTAGTGAAAAAAAATTATCATTAAGGATATTAAATTAAAATATGTATATTATAAATTTATAATATATTTGATATTTTTATATTAATAAATTGTTAAAAATATAAAAAAATTTATATTAAATAATAATTTTATTCATAAAAAATAAAAAGTAATTAAAATGAATACTATAGAAATTTATTTAATTATTAATTAGTTTATTATATAATTATAAAATCTTATTTATTTATATTATATTAATAAAGTTATTTAAAATTTTTTAAATAGAAAAAAAATGAAAAAGAATGTTAAGTGGTAGGGAAGTTTTTGACTTTCCATTGTAGTTTTAAGGGTAAAAAAAAAAAAAAAAAATAGAAGAGTATGGTTATTTTTGAAAAAAACTGCTACAGTAGGATTAAAAATTTCTCACTCGATCCGTACAAGTCTAGTCTAACCTTTGCTTTCAGTGCGTTGGAAACTCCTCGACCGCACTGACGTTCTGTAATTCAAATGACAAATTTCAGCACGTTTGGACAGAAAAACATGCTCATCTCACCACACTGACACTTCGATGAAATCCAAATCCACTCTTAGATGCAATAGGTACGGTGATACAATATTTTTGGAAAATATAAGAAGGCCATATATTAAAATAACATGCGGTTGAATGCAAACTTCGGGTGGTAATTAGACAACTCCGACCACATAAAAATATAGGGTCTAAAATAATTCCGATGGGGTTCATGAGATGATGTGTCCATTACTAGGGAGAGCTAATCACAACTCACAACTATAGGTGGGACCCCACATCCATGGCTGACGTGGCATGCCATTCACCTTCCCAACCGCATGTATATGTTTTGTTGCTGACAGCGTTGTCCATTGACCAACGCAACCTAGTCATGGATGTATTTTATTTTAATTTTAGGCCTTGTACTTATGAATTTACCTTATTACCCCATCCTCTTCCCCCCTCCCTCTCTGCCTCTGATTTTTGTCTGTTGTCAAACAGCGTCCCAAATTGATTACATTTATCCAAAAAGAAAACCCTAATAATTGGGGATTTGGGGAACCCTAATCCACCTTCCCTTTAACTCAATTTCCTCATATTCAAGGTAAGCGCTTTCTAACTTTTCCCAATAATTGCGTATCTTCTTTCGTTAGGGTTTTTTCGTTACTTTATGCATCAATACGTTTCTGCCTCTTTTTAAACCAAAAAAAGAAAAAAAAAATTCTGGCATTTTATCTTTTGGGCTTATTAAAAAGAAATAAACTGGAATAGTTTTTACGCCAATGCTGGATTACGACTTCCAATTTCTAACCTCTGTTTTCTTTTTTTTTTTTAAGCAATACTGTTGCTGTTAGTTCACGACTTCACGCTCTGCTTGGTTAGGGAAAAAACTCAGCCTCAAAATTAATAATTAGGGGGAAACACCATCTTTGCTTTCTCTTTCCTTGTTTTGGACTTGGGAGTATCCAATGTATCTTGGTTGTAAATTTGATATTTTGAGAATTCTATGTTTCTCAGTGATGAATTATACCCTTTTCAAATCCATATATATATATATATATATATATACATATTTAATGTGGTAGGAATGGGATACAAGTAAACAAGTAAGCCAAATATATCAGCAAAGTCCTGTGAAAATCTCTTCTTTTCCTTTATAAGATAGATTTGTGTTTGTTTTCTTTACTTGTCTACATTATCCAAACTGGCCCTTCTTCGCCATTGGTTGATCAGCATGTGATCACTGAATTCAACATGATTATCCTTTTTTCTATGATTTCATATCAAGTTTCCCAACTATATCATTTAAACATTTTGTTCTGCTTTACTTGATTGGTTTTATGGACTATCCTGAAGCATTTTTCAACCCTTAAATGATTGGCAGGTCATGGCTACAAAAAAGATAATAGCAATTTGTCAATCTGGTGGTGAATTTGAGACTGACAAGGATGGCTCATTGTCATATAGAGGTGGGGATGCTCATGCTATAGACCTTGATGATCAAATGAAATTCAATGACTTCAAGATGGAAGTGGCAGAAATGTTTAATTATAGTGTTAATACTATGTCTATCAAATACTTCCTCCCTGGTAATAGAAAGACTCTCATTTCTGTCTCCAATGACAAGGATTTAAAGCGGATGATAAAATTTCATGGGGATTGTGCGACTGCTGATGTCTATATCATAATGGAAGAAATTGTTGCTCCTGATGTTTCTAACTTGCCAGCCAGTAGGTAGTTTTCTTCATTTCTAAGCTAAAGATTAGACGTAATTTTTTATATATTTACTTAATGCTGAGAGTTTTTTTGTTACAGGTCAAGTAGGACAACTTTGTCTGAAGCAGTGCCTCCGCTTGATCCACCTCTAGATGTTGTGGATGATACCAATCAACCCAATATTCCGCTCGGGGCCTCACTTGATATTGTTGATGACACCAATCATATTGATGCACACATTGATTTGCCACCTGAGATTTCATCTATACTTCCTCTTTCGGTTTCTGCCAGTGAGAAGCATGCTAAAGGTGCACAGCAGTGGCAGAATACAATTACAGGGGTGGGGCAAAGATTCAGTGGTGTTCACGAATTTCGTGAGTCATTACGTAAATATGCCATTGCACATCAGTTTGCATTTAGGTATAAAAAGAATGATAGCCATCGTGTGACTGTTAAGTGCAAATCAGAAGGCTGCCCTTGGAGAATTCATGCATCAAGGTTGTCAACCACTCAGCTGATATGTATCAAGAAGATGAATCCAACACACACTTGTGAAGGGGCTGCTGTGACAACAGGGCATCAAGCAACTAGGAGTTGGGTAGCTAGTATAATTAAGGAGAAGTTGAAAGTTTTTCCAAATTACAAACCCAAGGATATCGTGAATGACATTAAACAGGAATATGGGATACAACTGAACTACTTTCAGGCATGGCGTGGGAAAGAAATTGCCAAGGAGCAGCTTCAGGGTTCATATAAGGATGCATATGGTCAGTTACCATTTTTCTGTGACAGGATAATGGAGACCAATCCTGGCAGTCTTGCTACGTTCACCACTAAGGAAGACTCAAGTTTCCATGGCCTCTTTATCTCATTCCATGCCTCTTTGTGTGGTTTTGTACAAGGCTGCAGGCCTCTCCTTTTTCTTGATAGCATACCCTTGAAGTCCAAATATCAAGGCATGTTGTTGGCAGCAACTGCTGCAGATGGAGATGATGGTGTATTTCCTGTTGCTTTTGCTGTTGTAGATGCAGAAACGGATGATAACTGGCATTGGTTTTTGTTACAACTGAAATCAGCTCTGTCAATATCTTGTCCTATAACGTTTGTTGCAGACAGGCAGAAGGGTTTACGGGAGTCAATCTCTGAAATTTTCAAGGGTTCGTATCATGGTTATTGTCTGCACTACTTAACTGAGCAACTCATTAGAGACTTGAAGGGGCAGTTTTCCCATGAGGTGAAACGGCTCATGATTGAAGACCTTTATGCTGCAGCTTTTGCACCTAGACCTGAAAGTTTTCAGAGGAGTATTGAGAGCATAAAAAGTATCTCACTGGAAGCTTACAATTGGATCATACAAAGTGAGCCCCAGCATTGGGCAAATTCATTTTTCCAGGGTGCCAGATATAATCATATGACATCAAACTTTGGGGAACTCTTTTACAGCTGGGCATCAGATGCACACGAATTACCTATAACACAGATGGTTGATGTCATACGGGGAAAGATTATGGAGTTAATTTATACCCGCAGGGCTGGATCTGATCAGTGGTTAACAAGGCTGACTCCTTCTATGGAGGAAAAGCTGGAAAAGGAGAGCTTGAAAGTTCGTCCTCTTCAAGTGCTATTGACTACTGGTAGCATTTTTGAGGTTCGTGGTGAGTCCATTGAAGTGGTTGACATGGATCGTTGGGATTGTAGTTGTAAAGATTGGCAACTTACTGGCTTACCATGCTGCCATGCTATTGCTGTTATCAGTTGCATTGGACAAAGCCCTTACGATTATTGCTCCAGATACTTTACAACTGAGAGTTACAGATTAACCTATGCAGAGTCTGTACAACCTATTCCAGATGTGGACAGGCCTCTACAGAAAGATTCTTCACAAGCTCTGGTGACTGTAACTCCTCCACCAACACGTCGTCCACCAGGTCGGCCTACCACAAAGAAAGTAGGATCACAAGAGGTAATGAAGCGTCAACTCCAGTGCAGTCGATGCAAAGGTCTTGGGCACAACAAGTCCACTTGCAAAGAGCTATTGTAGAGTGTTGAACACTGTAAGTATTAGCTTTTTGTCATTTAAAGCTGTCACCACTCATCACTGGAATACATCAATTTAGTGGCATCACATTATTCCATTTCATATTCATTCTAACACTGGTTTTCATAGAGATAGCCTATTTTTAATAGCAAGCTTGTGTGTTTGGCATTTTTGGTACATTTGTACGTGCAGCTTCGAGAAGAGTATCCTACTTTTTTTATGATGCATGCTTATATCGGATTATCTTTGCTGCATCAGAAGCTATAAGTTTTTGTTGGGTTTCCATGTACCAGTTGGCAGATCATCTGCAGTTTGCACTTACCTATATCTATACAAGGCTTTCCTTTCCTCATATTGCTGTAGCATGGAATATTTTTTATGTGTTAGCAGAATGTTGTGGATGCTGATAGCATTTCATAACTGAAAGATTACCTTTTAGCTTTACCCCTTTTTTTTAAGGTCTGTTGCTGTTGACATTCGACTAACTTGTCCTATTATATATGTTGTGCTTTATAGGGGTCATATCAAGGGTCAAGTGCATCACAATCTGTACATCTAACAACTCTTTTGAAGTAGTTGAAAGACACAGTGGGAGCTGTGGTGTTAATATTAATAATGAGAGCAATGGTTGCTGATGAATCTAATGGTAGTTCTTCCACGTCAATTATTATTTATTAGGTGTACTTGTATTCCAGTTGTTCCCTAGTTAAAGGTTATGGACCACGGCAATAATTAGTAGGAAAACAGTGGTTCGTTTTTTTTTTTTTTTTTAACTAGCTATTTCTACCCCTGTTGATGACTTAGATCCAATTTTGTTGGTGTATAATTATATCAAGTTTTCTATCCATTAGTTTTAAGTTTGTGAATTAAGGATATGCTAAGCTGAAGAACGATGGAAGGTTGTTGGTAGGTTGATATTTGGATGAGATGGCATCTGGTTTTGACATGGTAAATGCTTCAGTTTGAGACTTGCTTCATGTAATGCTAATTCACAAGAAACAAGTAGGAATGCTATGAGGGAAAGTCAAAGAATGGGGGTTCATAGCTGTACACTTGCATGCTTAGTGGTGGCTGCAGTCCTGAAGAAATGCCAAAAGAGGATATAAATCTGGCTGTAGTTACTTTGCTTTTCTCCTTGCATCACTAGCAACTTTTAATCTGTTTTTGTTTTTATTTTCCGTTGAAAAGAAAGAAATGGAAATTGCAGGGAGTGGAGGATGGTGGGAATTGAGGTCGATGTGAACCAAAAAATGGTAAGAGGGTTGGCTTGCAATTGCCGTTGTGATTCCTTAAAGAAGAAACAAATGGTTTTCGACTTTAAACGGTAAAAAACTAGCATATATAGTAGTCATATATAATGTAAAAACGAGATTCAATAAGAAGAAGCACCGTATGTTAATGCGTGCAGAGTTGATAATAATGGAATATATTTATTGCATATGGTTGAACTATAAAAAATATATATAAATATATGTACTCCATCCTCCTTAAGGAGTCATAAAATAAAGAAAAAGACGAAAATGTGTTTAATTAAGAACTCGTACATGCCTCTTGAAAAAAAAATTGGGGGGGAGATCAATGATGACCCAGAAGCAAGACAGAAGGGGCCATTGTGCACGTAGAGGGGAGTCCCAGCCGCTGCAATTTCATGACTCAGCTTTGTTCGTAGTCTTCTACCACTGTAAATTATATCCCTGGTAACTTTGGGAAAGAAAGAGCTGGAAAGAACTTCTCTTAAGCTGCAACGGAACCAATCAATTATATATAGCCACAGCCCACAGTAGTCTAGCTATTCTGAATGCTTTATCATTCACTAGAGATCTCATAACGTTTCTAAAGCTGCGACCAGTTACAGCGTTTGAAATTGGGCAGTGCCTCTTTTCATTGTTGATATCAGTTTGGATGCGTTACCATGCCACAATTGAAGTCAGTCACCTGCAAATGAGAACGGAATATGAGTTGGAGAAGTGAAGTCTTGTGTTCTTCAACAATTTGTCTAGCTTCATACAAAATCCTAGGTTTACATTTCTCCCCTAATACATCCATGCTTATCTGGATCAAATAAAAGACTTCTTATAGATTCTGGACTCTGAATCCCAGAACTCCCTCCTTGCTGATAACCAATATCTAAAAGAAATATAAAAAAAATATTCTTTCCATGTAAAAACGGGATGAACATAGTTACCACTAGCCAGTCCCCTCCCAACCATGTAACTATTAGTTCTGAAGATTTTGGCATATGTATGTTCATCTGAAATGCACAAGGTCATTATAGTGTCTTACAGACTGCAAAATAGATGAAGAAAACTCAAAACATACTAACCTGGCATGACCGCAATTACAATGCCATTGAAGACAGATCTATCACACAATGCCTCTCAGAGCCAAGAAATTATATCATGGCTTTTTGATCCTCCAGGGGGTGAGAATGAAGGCATGACCTGCAATTTTACAGTTGAGACAGAATGTACCGCCAAGGAATGGGTGCATGGCCCAATCAAAAGACCATTCTGAGTATCAAGCTTTTTATCGCATCCACAATCCCTCAGCAAGAATGTTGCTAACATTATCTTGCTCCGTTGAACTTTCATACATTTTTGTTCCCCTACTTTTTACCTCATTGACATTGGATCCAATCAACAATGTATGAGACTTAGCATCCGGGACACAACCCCTTTCCAACATCAAATCTAACAAAAGTCAAACCTCACTCTTGCAACCTTCTTTCCAGAGTCTCACTAATCAGTAGATTAAACATAGCTGAATCCAGAATTTCCCTTCAAGAAAAAATTTTATCAATATCTTTTGACATCAAATGTAACCGAGAATGGCTACTTAAACAAGAGAAAAGATCATGCATCCGAATCAGGCGTATGACCCTCACAGTAAGCATTAACTTGAAAAACAAAGCACAATCCTTAAATCGGTTCAGCATACACATACTTCGTATTGGGATGCAGTATGCTTCGGCATGAACGTTACAACCCCCTATCACCATTTGGGAAAGCATTACCAAGACATCTTTAGCCCTTTCTGATTTATGCAAGGCAAACATGATAGTGGTGTAAGTCAAATTAGTGCAAGTACCAGAACAATAAGCCCAGCTTGACTGCTTCATCCACCTTTCCAACATCACATACGGCTTGATCAACAAATCAAATGTGGAGACTTCAAGGAGGCATCCCCCTTTAGACATGTAAAAATATACTTCAACAGCCTCTTTAATCTTTTCTAGCCTGCAAAGGCCTTCAACTAGCCTAGAATAACATATAGAATTCAAAACCCAGAACTTGGACTGAATGTGATAAAATAGCTCTAAAGCATCCTCATATTTGTTCAATTTACAACAGCTGGAGCTGCATACGTGCCACAATCAGGAACTATTGACTGTACAATCATTCTTCCAAGAAGCTCGTAAGTTTTATTGATGCCCACGTTCTCACAAATCCATCTGATTAGAATATTCCAAGAATCACAATCTGCTATGCCTCTCTCAGACATCTTCTCAAGAAGACTTTTTCCCAGAAAAAATTTACCAGTCTTACAGCAGCCTTCAAGCAATGCTTTATATGGAGAAGTTAAGTTACCACAGTCATTCTCCAAGAAACGTATTGCCTGAATATATCTTTCCACTTCACAAAATCCATTTACCACATCCACAAATCAATCAACAGGAGGAACCTCACCAATTTCTATTATCTCTTCAAGAATATTAGTTGCATCATCTAAATGAAGGTTCATACATAAACAATGAATCAATTTACTGCAAATTAGTGAATCTGGCACTAAATTAGCAGCTCTCATCAGCCTAAATGGCTGAATTCCTTCTTCTAGTCTGTTCTCTTGACAAAACAATGGAACAATGCAGGCATATGAATTTAGATCTGGCTGACACCCGAGCTCCAACATTTCATGCAAAATGAGCACTGCATCATCAACTATTATTCAGAATAAGACCTTTTACAACAATCTCAAATGTCCTAACGTTAGGACTACAGCCCTTTTTTCTCATCCTCCTAAACTGATCCAAACCTGATTCAACCCTGTTGGTCTCGAACAAAACCTCCAACAAAGAGTTCAAAGTATCAGCGGTGGGCACAAACCCTGCTTTCACCATTTCCTTATAAACAAACAGCACATGTTGGAAATCTGTTTTCTCTTTAACAAGGGCACCTAATAAATCATTAAATAAATTAACAGAGGGATAATACCCACTTAATGTCATGTTCACAAGAACCCGAACCGCCTCATTTAGCGTAGAATGTCTAACAAATGTATGAAGCAAAGAAGCAAGAGCCTCCTCCGAACCTACACATATACCTCTTGTCAAATTTAGACAAAAATGATCCATTTCCTTATTATTCCCAGCCAAACCCAGTTTCAAAATGATATGGTAATAGGTATCAGCGTTATGGTTAAAAGCTTTTCTGTAAAGCAGCCCATTTGAAAATCTTAAGAGCTGAGTTCACATCTTGTGTTTTTTCGAAAACCCGGATTAAGCTATCTGGGTATAGATTATTCCTCAAAAGCCTAATCTTTGCTTCAAAATGGTTAAGATATGGAGGGTTGGGGTCGGTTTCGAGCTTCAGTTGGAGAGTATTGGCGTAAGAAACGGAGAAATAGCGCCCAGGTAAGTTAAGCCATCGAGGGAGTTAGTTGGAAAATTTTAGAGTAGAGAGCCCTAGAAGCATCGGATTTGGAGCTACCTATCGACAGTAAAACAAGACGGGGAAAGAAAGAAAGATAGAGGAGACGACTGAGCTGAGAATTTATGTACTAAGGAGCTATCAGGTATACAGACTTACAGAGAAACTGAATTGTTCATGGCCAAGTTGCCAAATTACTAGTGTTGAAGTTGATCAATTGCCTCAGTTTGATGTCAGCAGCTACAGTTTAGGTACGCTTTATAGTTTACAGGGGTGGCAGAGGCGTTGGACTTCCAGGCAGGGCAGTGACCACCAGGACCTTTGGATTTTCATTTTCTATTTAGCTGTGCTTCTCAAGGCTCAACCTATGCTATGCTGCCATTGCCAAATACCGACTTTAGCCCATTTCCCTGATGTTTTCGCATAAGACGCATTTTCATTTTAGTATTAACTTAAGTTCCATTATTTCTCAAGTATTAGTAAATTAAAAGAAAGGCGGCGTTCCTCCTATCATAAATTTTATTGGAAGGCTATATATAGAGAGAGATTGATAAAAGCCAAAAGTATTGGCCTAAATTGAAATTAAAACACTAATCTCAATCAATGTTCATAGAATGTTGTAAGATGTGGTGTGAAACAACAATTGAGTGAACAAACAACCCTTAATTTTTTAAATTGAAGTGAATTTGTTGTTGAACACTTGAATATGTATACATATATATATATACGCAAAAAAAATTATTTATTTCTAATTACCATTTAATATAAGATTTGTACTTTCTGTAATAAACATATGTAAAATTACACTATAAACTACTATTATTAAGAGAAATGCGATTTACTCCATGAAAGTGAAATGGACCATCTACCACTAACGCTGAGGCCGCCCAACAGCGCCCCATCAAGCACTAAACTAAAGTAGTCCAGCCCACCAGAGATTACCGACTGAACAGATCAACGGCTATCAAAGGCTACACGTGGCGAGAAATCATTTGCCCATGCCAAATATTTGGATGTAGCCTTTGCCGCGCTTGGCTAAGGCTGGGCTGGGCTGGGCTAATATGTGAGTTAAATTTCAAAACAAAGCAAAAGGCCGAATGGGATCCACCACGAAACAAAACAAAAAACAGCTTGGGATTTCGTCATAATCACAAAACCCCAGGTTCGGAGTCCCCGAAGCAAGCAAAATAAAGCTCAAAACCGAACCTAACCTCTCTCTTCTAACACGAAACGCGCACTCGTTCTCTCTCCTCTCCGCTGCCTGCCTGTGGTGTGGACATGTTGTCGCTTAAACGCAGGGAATTGCCAATAATAATAATAATCCTACAAAACCACAAAAGTATTCCATGAATAAACTAAAGAGGATGCTTCTTTCTTTAATTTAATTCATCCAAAGAATAAATAAAAAACAAATCATTTCTGCTGCTCTGTCTGCTCTGCTTCGCAAGCTGAGGGATTAGAGACAGAGTTAGATCGTAAGGAAGTTGGTAAAGTGGTAACTCCCTTTCTTTCTTTCTTTCTTTCTTTCTTTCTTTCTCTTATCATGATTCTCTGTTTTTGTCTCTCTCCCTTTTCTCTTTTGAAGATTTGTTTTGTAAAAGCCAAAATCGTTTTTTTTTCTTTGGCTTTTTCAAGTAGAGACTTGTGAGGGAGGCGTTTCATATGTTTCTTGTTTTCTTTATGGACTCCAATTCAAAGGATTTCTACTTTCTCCGTAAAATTTTCCATTTTCAAATTTGAAAAACAAATCTTCCCTATTTTCAAATTCTAAAAGCTGTCTCTTTCTTTCCCTTTCTCTCTACTCTGCCCTCTGCAAGGACGCTTTCAGACACTATTACTGCTATAGTTTATTCGGCTGCAATGAAATATACTGATGAAGCTTTACGTCTCTCTCTCTCTCTCTCTCTCTCTCTCTCTCTCTCTCTCTCTTGTCTTCATAATACTACTAGCAGACTTATGATAGATAGAGATAGTCTTCTCTTCTTTCAAATCCTAATTTTGTCAAAACCATTTCTTTGCTTTAAAATTTTCATCTTTGATCTCAAACTTTGGAACCCTTTGCACTATTTCTAAGCTATCCTCCTTCCCCTCTCTCTCTCTTTCTCATTTTTTGTTCTTTTTAATATTTCAAGCTTGGTCCTCGCTGTCCCTTTTAAATTAAATGCACAACGACCCTGTTCACATGCATATTTCACAGGGAAATACCTTTCATTTACTGCAAGCAAGAAGTAGGTCCTGTCCCTAAGCCACTAGTTTTTTTTTTTTTACCCTTCAAGGGTCTTGATTTCTGTTGATATATTCACTATCAGATCTTTGACAACAACACCATTCTCACCGTTGGATCAAGAACGCGCTATCCCTGATGTCAGTTTCTGATCAATCAACCGTGTCGTCGTCATCCCCGCCAGTTGTTCCAAGGGATTTTGATCCATTATTGAAAGATTTGAATGAGAAGAAACAAAGTTTTCGGCGTAACGTCGTCTCGCTCGCGGCGGAGTTGAAGGAGGTTAGGAGCCGTTTGGCATCGCAAGAGGAGTCATTTGCTCAAGAAACCCTAATAAGACAGGCATGTGATTGCTGACGAGGCCTTTTATTTTGTGTGTGTTTTATGTTAACTGTCAGTCTTCAATTGAATGTGGGGTCAACTGGAATTTGTTTACTAATAGATTTGGGTTTTTTTTTTTTTTTTCATCAGGAAGCTGAGACAAAGGCAAGGAACATGGAAGAGGAGATGTTTAGATTGCAGACAAGGTTAGAGGAGAGGAATGGGCAGCTTCAAGCCTCGACATCTGCTGCTGAGAAGGTCCCACTTACATCCCAGTTCTTGAACTTTTGTCATTTCTTTGGCTGATTAATTAGCCTCATAAAACTGTGATTGTGTTTCCTTTTTACTTGTTGCTTCATCATTTGGAAAGAAACTATCATGCCCTAATGATGGTATTATGTGCTATGTTGATTGAGTTGATCTGCTCTAAAATGGCTCTTTTTTTTTGGTGTCTTAATGTTTTAAAGTTGTTGATGACTCACACATCTTTTGGCATGCCTTTTGGCTTTTCCTCTTTGGTTATTTTTGGCGGAGCCCATCATAGGAAAGGCGACCGAGTGTTTCTGATTTTATTTGAATGTTAACTCTTTATTGTAACTTGAATAAGTCAGGAGATTGTTGTCTTTACACATAAGATAATCTAGGTTGGTCACAAAATCAAACTTAATGCAGCCATTCAACAGTCTCATATTTTGCCAAGTTATAAATGTATTTATTTGATGCATTATTCAGAAGTTGATCTTATCGACTTCTTATTTCTTCCCATCTACTTAATTGTTAAATTCCTGATGAGGAATTCACTTTTAAGTTTTTGGTAATATTTTTATAAAAACATGAATTTCATTTTAGTCAGTAGCCTGATTATCTGCTAGAAATTCTTGTCAAGTCTTATCTGAGTCATCTGACTGGATGTTTTTGAATTATATTGGCATGTGATCCAGTTTAACTTTCTGCAATTTATTCTAGTCATTATATTGAATGATAAAGCCGAAATGATATTTAAATAAAGATGCTCAATCTTTAAACCTCATGTTAAATGATGCCTTATTTTTATGGGAATATTGCACCAATTGAGACCTTTGCAAGTGTCCCCTATACTAATTGCTGCCAGAGAAGACTCGCTTTATTCTGTTCAAAATCAAATATTATGCTTCCTCTTGATTTTAAACAATGGGCATACCAACAAACTTGGAATAAAACATGAAAACTACTTGACATAGTGTTGTATAGTAAGGCGCCAATTAGATAGCAATTTTATTTACAACTTGATAGTTTCAAACTATGGAGATGTATTTTTATTAGTAGAATGCTAGATCATAATTGAATTTTCCCTTATTTAATTCTTAAAGAAGCTCAAATATGATCTTATGTGAAATGCACACTGCATGTTGTGAAATGCATTGATGTAAAGGGTAATCCTGGTAATGGCACTAACATAACATGTTGTCTTCACCTTGATGGTTAGAAGACAATCTTGGGCCTCTATTTATAATTTTTTTTTTTTGTTTCTACTTCATCATCTATTTTAGCTTTCATGTAAAATTTGTCTCTTTTGGTATTGCCGCTTCAATGATTTTTTCTTTTTTGTTTAGACTAATGCACTTCTGGGTTTCTGATATGACTTTGTAATGTGACTCTCAGTACCTCAGGGAATTGGATGATCTTAGATCACAGCTTTCAGTCAATCAAGCAAATGCTGATGCCAGTGCTGCGTCAGCTCAGTCAGCACAGCTTCAGTGTTTAGCACTGCTAAAGGAGTTGGATGAGAAGAATAATTCACTGAAAGAGCATGAGGATCGTGTAACTAGGTTAGGAGAGCAATTAGATAATTTGCAGAAGGATCTTCAAGCAAGGGAATCTTCCCAACAGCTGCTGAAGGATGAGGTTTTGAGAATTGAGCATGATATCATGCAAGCTGTTGCTAGGGCTGGAGCAAACAAGGACTGTGAGCTCAGGAAACTGTTGGATGAGGTTTCTCCCAAGAATTTTGAAAAGATTAATAAACTTTTGATTGTTAAAGATGAAGAAATAGCCAAACTGAAAGATGAAATCAGGATTATGTCAGCCCACTGGAAGCTCAAAACCAAGGAATTGGAATCACAGGTATTTTCATGCATATGCATAAGTTGCCTTGAAAAAATATCCTTTGAATTTTATTACCATTTCACTTTTTATATAAAATATATATTTTAATGATCTTTTATCTATTTTATGGAGCAGTTAGAGAAACAGCGCCGAGCTGATCAGGAACTGAAAAAGAGGGTGTTGAAATTGGAATTTTGTCTCCAGGAAGCTCGTGCTCAGTCACGAAGACTCCAAAGGGTAATGTTAATATCTTGATTCATTTCCTAAGTAGGATTCTGGTTATCTACAGCTGCTGATGAGTTCTCCACTAATGTGCTGTTTCTTAAATATTTGTTTTGCATCAGAACTGAAAATGCTTGGATTGCTAATTTGTTTGGATCCATGTTTGAACTAACTTTCCATTAATGGGCTGGACCCTCTGCAAGTTGGCCCATTTCTTTTGCTGAATCACCTATGCTTACTGAACCAAGTGTTCCAGTTCTACTAGTAAATGGCTTCTGATACACTTTTATATGCATAAATGATGTTTTGAAGGCCATATTGTTCACTTTAAACAATTTACTACCTTACTTTTATTTTATCTTGGCCAACTCTGAAACATGGATAGCCACTACAAACATGAATTTTTTAGATCCCTTGGCATGTTTCAGTCCTTTCTTACTCCTTTCATAAAATCATACTTTTTCTGGAGTCATTTTCAGTTGCATGTCATACGCTGATCTCATCGTACTAATTTTGGCAGATGGGAGAGCGCAGGGATAAAGCTCTAAAAGAACTTAGAGATCAGCTGGCAGCAAAACAACAATGTGGAGCTATGGGTAATGAGAAACAGAATTTCTGGGAAACCTCTGGTTTCAAGATTGTAGTTTCCATGTCAATGTTGATCTTGGTGGTGTTTTCAAAGCGGTGACTTCGTTTAGTTATGTAGGTGTTGTGTATAATGAATACCGGAAGAGTTTAGGAAAGCCCCAGAGCTATTGCCCTTGTAGAAAGGCTTGTAGATGTAGTACAGGATCTTTTTCTCGGTATCAGTCGAAATGCCATTTATCCTCATTCTGAGCTACATGCCTACAATGATGTGATTTCACTGTTATTCTTATGCCAACAAAATGCATGACAGTTCATCCTTTTTCCTGTATCCTTATTGTGGCAGATTACTCATAAGCTAGCTGCATTGCAAACAATCATGATGACAGCTTTCACAATTCTTCATGCTTTATCCTGTGTTGCTGGATTAAATTAGTTATGATATGAAGAACATCACTCCTTGAATCTCGCACGGAACTAGAAAAATCTCCTGGTATTTACGTGAATAAAATAAACATGCAATTATATCTGTTATGAATGTGATCTGGATTTGTATTGAAGTCAAAAAGGTTTGGTATGATAATGATGGGCTCGGGACTCCACTGTTGAATAAATATTTTAGGGGTTGCCAGTACAATTGGAATCCGATGCCGTGGGCTCCAAAAATGTAGTCGTTAGGACTATGTTTTATATAAAACAACAATATTTTGTCTTTAATTTGAAGCCATTTTTTTTCAATGCTGCAATTGCGTTTGCTTGCTATAGTGTTTTTGACTTCTAGGCAAGAAGCTTTTTGACTTTGTATGGTCCTAGTAAATTGATTCATCAAGAAAATCGGTTGTGTTTGATCCAAAAATAAGAACAGAAAAAAGAATTGATTGATTGATGATTTTGCTGAGGTGAGATAGCATGTAATAATATTCTTGATTTTGCCCCTCTGTAAGCTAAAGCTTTATGAGTTCGGACCTTTGGCATGCTGCTCTTTTTGGGAAATAAAAAATCGCTGGTGTGTTTCATTTGTTGCAGAGAGATGAATTTCAGATTTACTATAAAAATTAAGATCAAGATTTTAGTAAATTAGTGAATATATATATGTCTCATAAATATTGAATGGCTTTGTTTGCACTCAATATGGTTTATGGCTAATGGGTACCATACTATTTTAGCTACTAATGCAATCTGGTGTTTTAAGTATATGTTTTTTTTTTTTTACTTTATTGCCAGTCCAATACCTTGGAAATGCTTTCCATTCTATCCAAACGAAGTCTAGTTATTCAAGAATTCTAGCGTTAACCATTTCTCTCTTGGTGCAAACCCATCAGTAATCTCCGATGATTTGATCAAGCATCCATCTCAAACCCACAAATTCCACTAGTTGATAACAAACATATACAAGATCATCAGTACCTACTCTACAACCCCAACCCATGCCTGCAACTGTGATCTCTCTAAAAACCATCCAAACGAACTTTTTTTTTTTTTCTGAAACTATCTAAACGTCAAACTTAATATCTTGTATGTTTCATGTAAAAACTATTTTTTACCAAGAGCAAGAAACATCTCTACATCTTGAGCAGATTATGCAGGGCGGCGAACATATTCAACAGGAGCTGACTGCTATGATCACTCACTGTGGAACTACTTGAAAGAGGATTTAGCATGAACTTCTGACCTGTTTATATACATGGCTCTAGGAAGATTACTCCAGCAACAAGGGATGTCACCAGAATGATGCTGCTAATAAAAGGTTGTAAACCAGCTGACATGGATGTTGATGTATTGACACTGGGAGGTGTGTCCGACCCAAAAACAGTTGTGGTAGCTGAGCCAGGGTTACTTGAATTCAACACTGAAGGTGGGGTGATGGAGCTGCAAAATACGTGCAGGGTCACTTCTCCAGTTTAAGCTTATATAATAGCAAATATGATGTTTCAAAGCAATCGAAATGAACTCTTTACCCTGGTATGCCAGCCCCTGATGTTGGTGCTGTTGTTGCTGGTGTTGCAGTTGAAGTTGATTGTGATGCAGAAGATGGGTAAATGCAAGATCCACTACCTTTGGAAAGTTTTAATCACAACATTGTAAGCTAAGTATCATTTAAATATTCAAAGATAGATAATTGACAAGAAAGCAAGAAAGCGACAGAAGAGTTGTCTTACTTGGATTGGTGTTGACTATGGTCGCTGTCCCCCCAAAGTCACAGCTAGTTGGCCCTGGGTTTTTCTGATAATAGCTGTTGAAAGCAAAGGATGCATGGTTTTGTAAAGTATTTGGGCTGTAACAATTGGCACCTTGCTGGATCTGTGAGCAGTCAGCTCCTCCAATTCCACAAGCATAATCCAACGCTGACTGAAGTGAAGTCTCCAACGCTCCAGTCCTGGCTACACACCAGCTCTGTCCAGGAATTGCAGGAGCATTTGTAGTTGCAGGAGGGGCTGCTGGATTTGTTACTGGTGTGCTGACTGGAACACCTCCTGCTGGGGCGGGATACGTTGTTACAGGGTTAGTCACTGGCTGTGGCCCTGCCCCTGGCACTATTATGGGTGCAGGTGTTGTAACCGGATTGGTGATTGGTACCGCCGGATTGTTGGGATTGGTGGAGGGTACTGTGACCGGTGTGGTGGTGGGAATTGGCGTTGGTGTGTCCGCAGGATTTGTGGGCGTTAGGGTAACAGGATTAGTAGGGGGGACAGTGACAACAGTTGGTGTTGGATTATTTGGAGGGAAGGAGACTGGTGTCGTTGAAGTGGGAGCAGTAGGGAAGGTTGTTGGCGGAGGGTTGATAATGTCATGTGCTATTTTTTTTACGCTACTAAGGAGTTCTCTACGAGAAGAAAGAAAGATCTGCTCTTCTTCCCACTCAAGTTCCTTTTGTACAAAATCTTCCGTTGCTGATACTTCTGCATATAATGCGGCTATCCGAGGTGTAATCTGGATGTTGTTTTCTAAAGAATTTTCAACCTTAGCAGTAAATTCAGCTACTTGAGCTGCGCTAGGAACAGCAGGGCTTTTAATTGTCAGAAGAATGGGAACGTTATTGCAAGGAAGAGTAGAAGCGCCAAGACTGGCTGCTTCAATCACAGACTGAATAAATTGATCTCCCATGCTCAATTCTCCATCAATAATAATGGCTTCTACAATAACAAAGGACCCAGTTTGCTTGATAAAACCAAAAATCCTATGCAGATCACTTTGGTATGTCGTACTATTCATCTTTTGTAAGAATGATAATGAAAATGCTGCCGAGACCTTTACTTCTTTGTGAAGATTAAAACTACTGAGGAGCGAATGAATTGATTTCAAGGCGGATAAAAGCTTAACTAACTCATTTTGCCCTCCAAAATCATTATTGATTCTGGTTACAACAACGCTTTCGATGTCAACATGTGGGAGAACGGCAAGAAGGTGGTTTTTCAGCCATGAAATAGCAGATGAGTTGGAGCTTCTCAAATTCTCAACTAAACTCTCATTTAAATGGAGATCAACAGACACACATGAGTTGGATAGAGTACTCAAATCCGTATGATCTGATACGAAGAGTCGAATCTGAAATGGGGACACCTTGTTTCTCAGGAGGAATGATATGGTTCTACTAGCTGAACAAGATGCACTTTTTCCCCTTGCATGATAGGAGAAACCCACCAGAGTTCCTGGTTGGACAAAGGTAGTTATAAGTAAATTAACTTCAAAAATTGTACTAAACATTTATGCATATGAATATACATGGGATGATCTAACTAAATTCTTCCTTAAACAAGGCATAATTAAAAACAGGTTCATATGACAGTTGTTTCTCAAAGTACAAAATGAGCCAGTTATTTGGCTTTTCCACTATATAAATTTGCAAGAAAGTAAAGAGAGTAACGAAGAGATGGTTGCTACTTACCAGAAGTGCAGATAAAAGGAAGAAACAGAAGGGATAAGATGAGACAATTAGAAGCCCCTTTAGCCATCATAATTAACGAGAGGTTTTCCTGGGTTTAGGCAGAGACCTAAATGTATTTTTATTGTGATTCAAACAATGGAGGTGTTTAAAAGACAATGCATACAAAAAATCTTAGGAATATAAGACGTTAGCGGGAGAGAAGGAAAAGTGTTGAAGATAAAGTTGCAGAGAGAAAAGGAAATAAAGTAAAAGAAGGATGGCTATGTTCCATGTAATGTAAAAGGAAAGATATTACTTTGTCATGAAGAATGGGGTTGGAAATGTTCTGTCTGTCCACTGTAGGAATGAATGATCGTCCATGCTTTTTAGCTTCTTTATCTTTTTTCAAATTAAGCCGTTTAGGCTCAGAATATAAAAGCAACAGCCTGACTTGGCAAATGACATATGCACATGCATTTACAAACAATGAATATGCCTTCTACTATCTAAAAGGATCCATGATGAAAAAGTGAAGCACACTATCATATGATGTGTTATATATCTAGTTCAAAGTTCAAACAAACTACAGTCACTAAGAAAAGATGGTGGTTGGACAAAAACAATAAAGGAAAGAAAAAGATGGTGCTTTGTTTAATAATCCTGCATATTCCCGCTATTCCCATCACATTTTGTTTTGCATCTATTCTGTTATAAGCTGAGGCTGATGCCAATGGATTCAAGATTTTGAATTTATAAAACCAGCACAACATGTTTCAACTTACTGACTAGGAGTGCACTAAAGTGAAAAGAAAGATTATTGTCAGAAACAATTGGCGTAACCCCAAATGGGAAGTTAAATATTTGAACTTGATTGGACTAAGTAAAAGATTAAATCAATGTCAATTTGGCTTAGCTCAGCAAAAACCACATGAATTAATTAATTTGGATTAAAGGAAAGGCAAAGTAAAAAAAAAAAGTGTCCCTGTTAGTAATATATTTTTCAGGCTCCAAGTGCAATTTCAGATTTTGGCGGTTTCTTGTTAGGATAAGATCTCATACAAATACAATGTCTATTCCATTCAGATGCTTTGGCTTGCAGTGCTTGCTTCTTAGAACCAGCATATCTTTCTTAACAAATGAAGGTGTCGAAGAAAAAGACCCAACATTTGAAACAAACAAAGATAGAGAAAACAATAGGATCCAATATTTTTGTAGCTAAATTAGCACCTATCCGCAAGGATTACATGTGATGGCTCATTAGAGATTTTGGTGAGCATCACATTCTTCAAACTACAAAAATGCATTACTTGCATAATTCTAATTTATATCAGCGACTGGCAAGCTACTGAGTGATGTCAATTGGTGCCACTTCTTCCTTCAGACATTCTAATACATGTAAACCATGTGGGATAATCTATTGTTGGCGCTTCGCTTCTTTTCTTTCAAACCTATAAATCAAAAGCACCCTCAACTGACTAGATCCCATCGGAAAGCAAAGTATCACTACTCCTCATGTCTCATGCCCACGATAAGGTTTGTACATAGATTTTATATAAAATCTTTAAAAAGTATAATTCTGATTTAAAAAAAAAAAGCAGCTTACTGAGTTATGGCCGCACGCAATTTGCTTTGTTATTGGCTTTGTTCTTTTACTCGTATAAATGAAAACATTAGTAGCAGTGAGAGGTGATGACTGCCAATAACTGCGTGATTTGTTAGTAAAATACTAAGACTCTTAGCTTCAATTATCGAAGTAAATGGTGGTGACTTCTTCCCTTTGCTTCTAACCTCTCTTATATATGGATGGTATATATGCTTAATCTTTCCATCACTAAGAGCAAAATTGACTTAATAAATAAACCCATGTCATGTCGTGTACATATGTCGGCAACTTTTGGAACATATCAACGAAATTTCCGGTTACAAGATAGAAAGCAAAGCAATGTGTTGGTCATACACTAGCGATGGCTCGTGGCTCGGGAAATATATAAAAAGAACACAGTATTTCAGTTCGAAGAGTTTATATTCAAAAACATCAACTTAAAGAAAGAAAGAGAAGTTATGAATGTCTCAGTAGGCTTTGGTCTTGGTGAAAAGAAGTAAAAGTAAAACCCCTTCATGTGATGTGAATATGATACTTAAATGTGAGGGCTAAGAGAAAGAAATGAATTGATACCAGAAAATTGCAGGGATGGTGATACTGTAAGGATATAATGCAACATTATTGCCCAGCAATATATAGATATGACAATAGTGTCACAGAGGAATATCACTTGAATGAAAGAAAGATTCAAAGCTTCATTAACAACTGATATCCCATCCATTTGTCAATACGAGTAGAATATAAATTACAATTTCCCATATTATTAACAAACACAACATTATGATTCATTATCACTGTAAGGTCTGTCAAGTTGTGGTTATGATCCATATCCAATGTTGGCAGACCTCCTGCTATAATGTACAAGGGAAGGGAGAAATCAACTTTTTTCTTCCACTTCTATGTAACACCTCCTGTTAGTGTATTATTCACAAGGCGTGGTGGGGTCCACTAACAAATCACTGAAGAAAGGGTCAAAAATTGCTTCTTTAGCTGAATCATATTTGTCCAGACGCTTCTTCAAAGACCGCAAATCTCTCTCATTCTTTGAAGAACGTACCTGACAAACCATTAGAGAAAAAATATTTTGTCACAATAAAACAACAAAGATGTCAAGTCTGTCAACTAAAATTGTTAAAGGATGGACAATTAGTTGTTATAATAAAAAAAGAAAGTGATGATTGCGACATTATTCAAAGTTCATAGATAACATGCATCATTTCCTAATTTATAGGATGAAAATCACTTACAAATGTTTTCTTCAGCAGCACTATATCCACCAAGTATAACAGCCATAGCACATTTGTTCTGGGAAAACTGTAGAAGGACAAAAATCAACTATGTACTTATGTACAGCATCCATACAAATTTCAAAATGTAACAGCATGAGAAAATGTGGTTTAATGAAGAGAAGGACCAAAGCCTTGGAGAGAAATTTAATGCCCTCCTGGGATATAAACAGGGGAAACAAAGATAAATAAATAAATAAAAGCTTGAAATGCCTCAAATGATTATTCCTCTAATGGATACACCAACTCCTTTCCTTAATGTATGGCATAGGGTATGCATGAGCAGCTGTGGATCTCTTCTTCCCTAGAAATTCTACTGGAACAACCATACAACCGAACTTGATTGTACAGGTTAACTTGCTTTAGTTAGGAACAAAATCACTTCTACTTTCACTTTAAGCACATAAATAAATAGTTGTAATAACCAGCCTAAATGCGGCACATAACAACATATTAGAAGTATTAGTAACAACTGGAAGACCAAGAAAAAGAATAGAGGTTTTATAAAAAAACCATGATTTAACTGAAAATTTCAATGCTGCTGCAGAAACCAGTTCATTCATGATAGGGTTCACTTTGTTTAGTTAAAGTAATGTAGGGTAGTAAAGGCTAAGTGCTTGAATGAATGAAACAGCAGAAGCGACCTATGTTCAGATGTGAAGAGATAAGAAAATACCTTCCTTCCCAGTAATCTTCTGTAACTTCTTTCATTTTTCGATATGTTTCTGACTGCATATGATAATTCTTTAGTAAATCAATTTCGCTAGGTTAAATGTGAACTCATGTTTGTTTGTAACTATGAATAGAAATTCACAGCTCATCCCATTTTCTTACTTGTTTGTCTCCTTTTGGACCTTTGAAAAGATAGGGGTCCATCGATAGATCCAAAAAGAATATACTTTCTCCTGTATACAAAAACCATTAAAAAATTTTTATCTAATAAATCCTCTAATGTAATAAAATGTTTTTTTTTAAACAAAAATAAATAAATAAATAAATAAAAGTGAAGGAAACTTTCACCAGTGTTTATTCTCGACAATGTAAAATCAATTATTGATACCAATAACCCAAATGTCCTAATGAACATTTTCTTGCCCTCAAGAATAAACTTCATAGTGTGAGAGTCCCTTCGGCTCAAAAGTATGTTTCCCCTGTAAAAAGGAAAAAAATTCAATAGTTAGGAGTCAGAATCAGGACATAAAGTTACCAAAAAAATGTGACAGCAAGAAGACCAGTGCAGGTCACGGTGTTCAAACTCATATGCAGCTTCAGCCACGGCCAGGGCAGCTGTAACCTGCAATGCACAATGGGTAAGTCAGCTGTAAGCCAGTAGAAACAGATAAAAAGATCCATGAATCAAGACTTGATTTTTTTCTCTAGAAAATTACTTTTCAAAAAAAATCTTTTTGTTTAAATAATTTTGCATCACAAGAAAACTCTTTGATTACCTGAACCAATAAACTTCGTGCTTCATCAAAGTTCTTGAGTACAAAGCTTTCAAGATCTTTACCACCATGTTGTAGAACAAAGACGACATAGCGCTGTATGCAAATTCATCAGGTAAAGTAAATATATATTTGTAGTTTGGGCCATAAGTTTGGGAGTGTCCTAAATGTGCGTTTAAAATAGAGCATGAAGTATTTATAAAGTGTTTATTTATAGCTTTTTTGTGTAGGCAGTCATCAGCAACATGGAAAAGAAGATGCCTGTTTCCCTGGGAACTCTTTGGGGTGATCATTTTCTGAGCCATTCTTTTCATCCCATTTTTCCCAAGCTCTAATCAATGCTGCATCATACGGACCTTGGCAAACCTTTAAACTGTCACAGAAAGAGATGAATTAGAGATGACAGACAGGCAAATAAATTGACACTGACATGCAATTCTAAGTCTATGCATGACATTGGTGGATGACGGGTTTAACCAAGTTAGCCTACCTTGTGCCAATATTTTAGTTTCATGCATTTACTATTGAGCTTGACCAAGTTCCAGCCAATGTGAAGAACAATCATCACAACAGGAAGCACAAAGTGCAGGCTAGGCTACAAACAAACTGATATGGTGAAATTGAATATGCAGAATCACTCATGCATATAAGGAAAATATTTCATGCATCATGGCTTTCTATTGAACATGACCCTAATAAGCCAACTAAGAATATAAACTGCTTCTAATTGAAATGTTTGGTTATCGGAAGGTATGTAACAAAGAATGTCACAGAAAAACATGATGTGGAATTAATACATACTCAATTGTTTCAATAAAGGTCGTGCAAGCATTAAAAACATCATCTTTGAATTCCCGTAAACTATTAAGAGTTTGTGAGAGTACAGCCTCCTCAAGCAATTCTTCTGATTTCTGAAGCATAGGAAAGCATATGTATTAGTGATAAAACAAGCAAGTGAATTGGCCAAAAGAAAAAAAAAAAAAGCAAGTCATGAATTTCATTCAAAAAATCTACTCATGTCAAAAATAAATTAACTTGCAAACAACCAACAGAAACAGTAATTTCATTAGGATAAATACCTTTTGTACTTCTCCATTTACTGGAAAATCTCCATCAAATGGAACTATTTTGCACACAGTGTTGCCTGCTCTGAAGGCTTCTCCATAAGTACCTTCACCAACTTTGGCAATACTTTCTGGATCACTGAATCAACAAGGTTTCACCATAACAAATCCAAGCAGGAAGCATGGTCAATTGAATTTAGTGGAGAGAGGAAGTATAAGAAGAAAAATGCAGTGAGTTAAAAACACTATTGAAACTAACGCCCTTGCACTTATTATATAGCTGGACCACAAAGATGACGAGTGAAACCTTTAAACATATAAGTGGGCATTTCTGATTTCTGAAAATAAGACAGCACATTACACGGTATAATGATATTATAGCATAATCAATAGCATATAAAGCGGGAGGCTTCTGCATTGTGGTAAAGTCAGATGTACACAACCCCCCTCTCTTCCATGCTAAATCAAAAAAATATTACGTGCAGTTCGCTTCTAGGGGAAAGGGAAAAAAATTTAATTCCGTAGGGACTTACCAATACTTGGAGAAAAGATCAAGAAGCTTTGACGGTGCTGACTGTTGACAAATTTCCAGTAAAGCAGAAAATGGATCAACATGATCAAGATCTGACGATGTTGGTGTAGACGCCAGGGAAAGCTTCCTAATAGCAGCATTTATATCTTGACAGCCGTCATCACCACCACTTGTGGATATCGGATTGCACTTTTCTGGAGTTCTTAAACTTGAAAATTTCAGACCATCACTATATATAGAATCCATTGGGGAAGCTGGAGCTTCTAATATTTTGGACAATGTGCTAGAAGGCCCACAACTGAAGTTCATCTTCTTTGAAAAGAGCCACTTCTCTAATCTGGATGAAACATGTGGTATGGGAGCAGTGACAGTTTGATTGCCCGTGGCCCATGTCCCAAAGTGTTTTGGTGACGGGCTCTCCTCCAATAACTCAAAGGCATCAACCTCTTGAAAGTATTCTCTCTCCTCCTCAAAGCTTAGAGGTTCTGGAAACTTTCCCTGTAAACAAGAACAGTTTGCCATACTCTTAATTAAGTGAAATGAATTTGCAATGACAAAGTAATGAATGAACCTATCTCAAGACACTAGACAGGAACATAAGTAGTTGTGAAACAACATTAAAAAAAAAATCATAAAGGAAAGAAAGTTGAGATGGTATTTGGCATCAAGGTTAGAAGAAAACAGTATGCATAAAGGAGTTGAGAGAAAGGAATGGGTGCCATACTTTAGGAACAGGTGGTTTTCCCCTTCTCTTGGCCTGCTTAGGTTGTGGTAGATTCTTCTCACAAGGACCAACAGCAATACTTGTCCTCCCTCTGAATGAAGCAGCATAAGCAGTCAAACGTAAAATTGGAGCATAAGTGTGAAAATGTGTCATCCGCAAAGATTCCTTTTTGAAGCAATAAGAAAGAAAAAGGAGGCATTTTTATTTTATTTTATTTTGAAATTTGAAGAGAAGCCAATTAAAGAGAAGGAACCTGGTGGAAAGCGAGCGATTCCAACTGACACGCTTGTTAGCAGCAACCAAACTGAGGCGATTGCGGTTACTGGTTTCCAGCACCTCCACTGACTCGGAGGGGGTAGTGCGAGTGTGAGGTGGCGGTCGTCTTCGGTGATAGATGAGTTGGGTTGTTGTGTTTGTGGATTGTTGCTCCTCCGACTCCGATGCTCCTATGATTTCTGACCAAATAGCAACCTGCCCACCCGCTTTTGCTTTGCGATCCATGTTTAATTAAAAGACTACACTTTGGTTGAGTTCAGTGAGATAAAACATTGGTACAAAGAGACGGTGACTGATTTTGATTTTGATTTTGAAACTCCATGGAGGCGGGAGTTGGGGGCTTTGGTCCAATTACCCCTTCCTGGATCTATAAGCCCACTTTTTTCGGCCCAAAAATTCCGAGTGCAAAGTCCACTTAAGCTTTATCCTAAACCCACTCGCTCCGAACTCGATCTGATTTTTTATAATCATAAAACTGGTATCCATATCTGATCCAAATTTTTTTATTTTTTAATATCCGAACCCGTCTCGAAATTTAATATTGTATAAATCGTACCCGACCCCCTATCCGACTTAAAATTAATAAAATATTATTTTTAAAAAATAAATATATAATTATATAATTATATATAAATAAAAATTAAAAAATAATTTTTAATATAATATCAGGTCAGGTCGGGTTTGCCTAAAATCCGAACCCGATCTAACCTTAAATTTTTTTTAATAATACCCGACCCGAAACTCAATTTTCAAAAAAAAAAAAAATCAATCCTATAAAATCAGATCAAATCGAGTCAAAACCTGTCGAATTTAGATTGGGCTGCCAACCGTAACCATTCATCCCATCCCATTGCATATTGAGATATAAATATTATTCATTCCAACATGTAAAATGGTCATGACTTAATAATGCATGTTTAGAGAAATACATTTGTTTAATAATCATATATACCCTAACTGATAATTAACATTAATTATGCTTTCAATAATATTACTTGGACTAGGCGAGGGGACAGTGATTTATATATGTTTTCCGTATTTGATTTTTTCTGATTATAAAAAATAAATAAATATATATATATAAATTAGTCTTTCAAAATCAACATTTGTTAAGATTTCTTTTTCTTAATATATATCAAGGATTACATATTAGACTAACCAACCTACCTGCTATATATACTATATGATATTATATTCAATTATCATGATCATTACGACATATTAATTATCTCGCTTTATCATTCACCAACATGTATATCTTTTTTCTTTCCAGTTAGAATAAAAAAATTCAAAATTTTATTTTTATTATTATTTTTATTATTATTATTACTATTTTGAATAAAGATGTATGCATCAAGTCAAATAAACTTGAATATATTACCCTTCTTTATGAATGGATTGCTATAATTTATTTTTAATCACATAAAGATCAACCAATATATCTTAATTAATTAATTTTTATCTAAACCCACAGAAAACGAAAATCCTCTCTCTCTCTCTCTCTCTCTCTCTCTCTATATATATATATATAATTAAAATTATTATCAACAATTATGGCCCTAGTTATAACTGCATGCATCTAAGACAATGGAACTGATAGACCTTAGACCACCATAGGTATGCACAGATGTACTTTTCATCACTATGTATACACTATGTATATACATTTTGTTTCTGTCACTTATTAATTAAACAAACAAAAGTGCATATATATATATATATATATATATATGCATGTGGAACAATGTACAAGAAAAAGATTTACCACTGTTTTCGAGTCCCTGAATGGACGATCTGAAATTTGCTTGATATACTATTATGGGTTTAGCTAGAAAGCAAAGCATTATGAATTTGATGGAAAAGACCTAAAGCAATCAACTCGAGCGTCAATCGTGCGTTGGTGTTTTTTTTGGGTGACCCCGGTTTCGGTGGCCATTGGGTTCTATTTGTGTTGCCATGAAATGGGCCAAATGGTTTTAGTGCAAAACAAATCACTACAGTTGATAGCTTTATAGATCTGCTCTGCGGATGATGTGATGTACCATTAAAATATTAATTAAAAAGATTTGCATGCTTTGATTCCACAAACTCTACGTTTACCACATCTCTATTGGGAACATTATCAAAGCTTTATCAACATATACTTAAAAGATCAAAAGCTTTATACAATCCATTAACAAGTATTGCTCTTAATCTTGTATGTAATAAGTATGTTAAAAGATAAAAATTATAATTTTATGTATAATTTTATACACCAAATGTATCCTACTCAATTTATTAATATTAATTTAATTGATTTAAACTATTAAACTGAAGCAAAGAATTTTAAATCAAGCCTTGAAAATCAAGAGATATAGAGTTTGAGTGAAATTTTTGCAGTAATACTAAATAACTAAATTATAATCATCCTACATCTTACTTGGAAAAACAATAGAAAAAAAAAAAAAAGACTAGCACTGGCTGTTAGTAACCTTTAATCACTATCCACATGTTTGAAGAATAACCATTCCTATTCATTTGATCAGCACTAAACTCTATATTATATGTCACATTAATTGATTATTGCTTATATATCATAATTATCCTTTTTTCCATATTCCTGATTGAGATGTTTGACTAATCTAATTGGAGCAAATGAAAATATTAATTGGAGAAGGATATAAAAAAAAAACAACGAGGAGACATCATGTAGACAAGAGTCACATATATTGAGTTGACATTCGAGTCTAATTGAGTCACAGTAACAAACTTAGGCCAGAAAATTTTTGAGGGAAGAAAGAGTGAGTGAAATGGAAAAGAGAAGGGTAAATTAGTGATAAAAAAGTGAGGTTCAAAGCAAAAGACCGGAGAGAAGAAGAGACTTTGAAGGCTTTAAACATTTGGAAAATGCTTGCTTGTGTTTTACTGTATGTATTAGTAACATGTAATGTGGTGTAAGGCATCTAAACTCACTACCTACCACTGATAACTCCATCCCTTCTTCTCTTCTCTTTTATTATTCCCCTCAACTCTAAACCCATTTCAATGTCCATCTACTTCTCTCAGGCTCAGCCTCTTCCTGGCTTTGCCTTTGTCTTTTCATTTTCTAGGAGCCTCATTTCTTGTACCACATAGCTTCACTCAAGCTTAGGTTCACCTACACATTTCCCCAGAAAACAAATCATCTTCTTTTAGCTATTTAATTGCTTCTTTTTTTTTTTTTTGACTAGTTAGTGCATTTTGGTTTCTTCAATTGGCTGCTGTTGCATCTGGGAACTGGCCACATTTGGGCTTCCTAAATTGGCTTGTTAGTCTCAGATCTGAGCTTGTTTATTTGGGTTTTTTCTGTATGAGGAGTGGATGTACCCAATTCAAAGATCTGAACTTTACTGCTGGAAGGTAAAGATGCTGCATTTGTTTATATGCTCCTTTTTTTTATCAAAATTATTTTATTTTTATGTTGCACAGAAAAAAGTTTCTCTGTATCTGGAGCCATAATTCAATAATGTTGTCTGATCTGTTTATTTGCTAAAATAAAGGTTCTATTTTGCATAGCTTGATGCTTCTGCTCCTTGGTTTCTTGTGTGGAAATGCTGTATGCCAAGTAAAATATAAGATTTGGAATGGAAATTTTAGTACTGTCACAAGGATGATGGAACAATAAGAACCTTAATTTTAGTTTATGTTTATGTATTAATCAAATTTCTTTTTTACATCTGATGTCAATCATGTAGGTTTTGAATATCTGAAAGAAATTAAGAAAAAACAGACATGGCAACTGATCTCAATGCAGAATTGTCCAAGAAGACTGCCATTTTTGGTCTTAAGGTCTGGGAGGTTATTGGGATTGTTGTTGCATTATTTATCATAATCATCCTGTCTCTGCTATCATTTTGTTTAACTTCCCGGAAGAAATCAAGAGCTAGAAATAAGCTTCCCCTTACCCAAATCCCATCTGTTTCTAAGGAAATAAAGGAAGTCAGGGTGGAGCAATTGTCAACCAATGATTTTGTTCCTCGTGATGGTATTCTTCTTACCATTCATGATAAATCGAGTGACAAAGAGTCAGATAAGGTTCTGGTTCATCTGGGGATGGGAAAATCCAAGAGTGGAGACAATAGTACTCAGTCCGGTTCATTTCCCCATTTAGAAAAAGATGGTGCAGGGTCTCAGTCAGGAGAAGAAGGGAGTTCTGGCACAGTAACTGTTTATAAACCCTCTTCTTCATATCCCATCACTGCTCCTTCTCCTCTAGTTGGCCTGCCTGAATTCTCTCACTTGGGTTGGGGTCACTGGTTTACACTGAGGGATCTTGAACTTGCCACAAACCGGTTTTCAAAGGAAAATGTTCTTGGAGAGGGTGGATATGGCGTTGTTTATCGGGGCCATTTGATCAATGGGACGCCAGTGGCAGTTAAGAAGATCCTCAACAACTTGTGAGCCTATATGTGTGGACTTTAAAAGTTGGTGTTATTTTCTTGTCCCAATGTCTTGTTTAGCTAAACTATTTATTATCTTCTCTTCAGGGGCCAAGCAGAGAAAGAATTTAGAGTGGAAGTAGAAGCTATTGGGCATGTGCGCCACAAAAATTTGGTTCGTCTTTTAGGCTACTGTATTGAAGGAACACACAGGTGTAGTCTTCTTTCACTATGTTTTTGCCTGGTTAAAAATTTTGACTGGTTACCTGGATAATGGCTTATCCTTAGCAGTTGCAGAATTAAGTCACTCATGGAAAAATAGTTTGTGTTTAAACATATCAGTAGGAGTGGCAGTCCTGCTATCTAGATATTGACAAGTTTCTGGCTTATTGCTGTTAACAAAAGACTTGTTATTTAAAATTGCAGGATGTTGGTTTATGAGTATGTCAACAATGGAAACTTGGAACAATGGCTTCATGGAGCTATGCGTCAGCATGGATATCTTACTTGGGAGGCTCGCATTAAAATTCTTCTTGGCACAGCTAAGGCGTAAGTTACTATCTCTACATACATTGCCATCAGTCTAGTTCTCATTTGGCATGATGGTTCTTCTTGCAGTCTTGCCTACTTGCATGAGGCCATTGAACCAAAGGTGGTGCACCGAGACATTAAGTCCAGCAATATATTGATTGATGATGACTTCAATGCCAAGGTTTCCGATTTTGGTCTGGCCAAGTTGCTGGGTGCTGGGAAAAGTCATGTTACAACCCGAGTTATGGGAACATTTGGGTATGTATTTTCTCTAGATTGTCTTGATGTTTGTATATTTAGGACCTTTATTCTCTCTGTCTCTCTGTCTCTCTCTCTGTTTTGTTGTCTGATTGTTGAGGAATAGTCATCCCTTGACAACTTTTCCCTTCTCCTAAAACCATACAGATATGTGGCTCCTGAATATGCAAATACTGGCCTTCTGAATGAAAAGAGCGATGTCTATAGCTTTGGGGTTGTACTATTGGAAGCAATCACTGGTAGAGATCCTGTGGATTATGGTCGTCCTGCCCATGAGGTATGCAGTAGTCATGGATACCATCTTTACTAAGCTGCTGCAAACTCAATTATATCTTTTGAAAGCTAGATAAATTTAATGCTTTTGTTACTAAACCCTCGAAATCTGTCAGTTGACATTTGATTATTTAGGTCTCCTTACCATATAATAGGAGTGCAGCTTGTTCCAGGCCATCATCACTGCCTACCACCGGAACTAACTTAAGGATTGCTTTGTTCCTGTTAAAAGGCATGCCATCTTGTGTTCTGTATTGATGAGCTAGTGAACTGACCGTATTTGTTTCTTTGTGATATGGTGGACCAAAGTACATAACTAACTAAAACTTTGAAATTTCTGGTGCTCTGAAAATTAACTTGTTAAGGCTGTGCAACTGGCTATTTGCTGTTGAATGCTTCCATGCCCCTTGTGTTTTGGGAGGTATTTCTACACCTTCCTGAACTTTAATCTTCATTCTAAAGGTCTAATTTTTCGAACTTCAAAATTATTTAGAGCACCAAGGCATGGATATGTAAAAGGTAACAGCATTCTGCACCTATACTATGGTGAGCTCCTAATGTTTCAACTTAATGGTCATGGTTAGTCAAAGGTCTAATTCTAATTGACTTAGCTGGATTGAAATTACTGATGGACTTTTTAGTTTTTATATTTTAAGAGGTTTTTAGGTTTTATTAAACATGAATCTTTATGTTTACAGGTAAATCTGGTTGAATGGCTGAAAATGATGGTTGGAAGCCGGAGGTCAGAGGAAGTGGTAGACCCAAATATTGAGGTTAGACCGTCAACAAGAGCTCTGAAGCGTGCCCTTCTTACTGCTTTGAGATGTGTTGATCCGGATTCTGAAAAAAGACCCAAGATGGGCCAAGTTGTGCGAATGCTTGAGTCTGAGGAGTATCCTATACCAAGAGAGGTTAGTGTTAAATTCATTTCTGTAGCATGATGCTAAATATGGTGGATTCAAGTTGGACATTTTATTAAAGAAAAGAAAATAAAGGACACTTGTTAAAACTTGGACATCTGACTTGACTGCTTCTTTAGTTTTTTTCCCTCATCGCTTAATGCTTATACAATTTGTGCCATTTCCTGTCTTTACATATAGCCAAACCTTCTAGAGGTAGACTACAAAAGACATGGATGCAAGTTAAAAAAATGGTATGCGGGTTAAGGAAACAGATGAAAAGGTTGTTTTTTAATAGAAATGAGTGGTGCAAAAAGATTCAAAACTACAACCTAACATGATTCCTTTTATTGGTCTTTCGTACAGCCGCTTCCAAAGTTATGGGATATAAGGCTTAGTTTGTTGTTGTTTTACATATAGCCAAGCATTTCTCAGTTTTTTAGCCAAGAGTATTATTACTTGACTCGTTTGGTACTATCTTAATGTGACTTTACCTCTATAGTGATAAGTGCATCTATCTCTTCCTTCTCTCCATTTCTTACCTCTCATCTGTTGCTTTTATTATTGAAATCCTCAATAAGTTATCTGCTAAAATTGTAAGATAAAAAGCTGTGCCTTATAATCAACTTGTGCCAAGGAATAGTAGTATCTTTTTTTTCCCTTGTTTCTATGTTGTTTTAATCAGAAAGCTTTCTTCCCTTCCCGTAGTTCACTTTCATATCACGCCCAGAAGCACTTAATTATGCTTATGATAGTCGTCAAGTGTATGTTGTTTTCTTCTGAGTAGCCAGTTTATCTGTTCTCTTTTGGTGAGCTTCAAAGGGATGACTTGTTAAATTTTAAAATCAGGATCGAAGGCACCGTAGGACTCATGGGAATAGCTTGGAAGTAGATTCACAAAGGGATAATTCTGACACTGATTGGAGTGATTATCCAGCCTCCAGATCAGAGAGCAAGCGGACACAATCCTAACCTAAAATGCAAACAGGCTGGGGACGGAGGGTGGGATTCTTAAAATTTTTTTCCGTGTTAAAAGTTGTTGGGGTTTTCTCCATATTAGTTGTCGATAAGTAGGGAATGGTGGTAAAGAGTGGGGAAAGGGAAGGTGATCCCATATTCTTTTGCCTTTTATTATTGTTGATGTTGTTGTTTCGCCTTTTGTTTTAAAATTGAACATAATTTGTAGTTGGAAGAGATGATTTGTTTGTGTATGAAATTGGCGTTGTGAAGAGGCCAAGATGATTGTTAAAGCTTAAAGGGTGAGTCAACTCCAGAATGTTCAAGTATTGTTATTCAAAGCTAGCAATAGTCAAGGTTTCCGAGTAAATTTAATTCACTAATGATGATGCTGTCTTCAGTTGTCATCAACATGAACCATAGATAGACTAAAAGAATAATTTGCAGTTATTTTTTATGTAGTCTACGACTACAAGCCACCACGGAGCAAATCATGTTGGTTATAATCGCATATGCAGCTGCAGGCTTCAATCCTCATCATCATTAATTAAACAAACCGGCACCATCATATACTATACCATAAACAACTGCTTGCCTTGCCAACCAAGTTCAATTTATCCCTCTCGATACTTTTGAAAATGAGCCATCTAAATTATATATTCAACCCTAAGAATCTTGTCACCCAAGTCATGTTTCTTATTGGACTAGCTTTCCTTTTTGTAAAAATAAATGTCTGCAACATAACGCACGTGACCCGTATTTTCGTCACACATATATTATTAACAATAATTAATTTCAATATGTTGCCCAATTCTTTGCTTCTAATAAAGCTCATTTTTCAGTATATATTACGACTAGGTATTTTTAATTGACCAATTGTGGCCTAGCTGGTTTGCTTTTTTTTTCCCATCTCAGCATACTATGATCTGTATATAAATTTCATTCAAAGCTCCACTTGAACGCTGTTTATAGTAGGGCTTGACGCCAATGCAGTCTTTGCTTCTGCAGACTCGTATCTTTAAAGGTAAAAGAAGGGTCTCTTGTAATTCCCAAAAGAAAAAAACAAGTGCTGCTGCTACTGCTACTGCTGGAGGCGGAGGTGGATCACTTCATGTGTGGACTGCATATGTAACAATTTTATTTAGCTGGATACATCAATCCTTTTTTTTTTATTGGAAGCAAAGTCAAAAGTTAACTCTACTCCTTATAATGTAATTGAAGAAGTAAAACATGTTGAAATAATTCCCCACTATCTCTCCGGCTCTTCTTGGTTTTTATTTCTTTTGTATATCCATTATGGTATGTCTACTTAATTCCAAAGTCGTATTCTAGCTCATAAAAAGATAATCATAATCTCTTATGACCATTTTCAAATTTCTTAGACATCAAGGATTAAGAATGATGCATTACCTTACTTCAGCAACCTCTGTTGTCTAACAGATACCATAAGCAAAGGCTTGATTATCTATATGTAAATATAGACAACTTCTTCCCGGTGTATCATAAAGGGACTACAGGTTTTTTAGATTATCAAACATGGCTCAGACGGTGGGTATAGATGAGATAGAATCATTTAGAATTGAGTTGTCAGAGGTTGGTAGAAGTCTGAGATCATCATTTCGGCTTCATGCCTCTAGCATACGAAGTAGCTCAGCCCAGAGTTCTAGGAAGGATGATGCTGATGTTGAATATGCTCTGCAGTGGGCTGCCATAGAGAGATTACCTACATTTGAACGCCTAAGATCATCTTTGTTTGATGAAGACAACAATGGAGGGATGGTTAATGATCAAGGAAAACGACTGGTTGATGTCACCAAGCTTGGAGCTCCAGAACGGCGCATATTCATGGAGAAGCTCATCAAACACATAGAAAATGACAACCTTCAGTTGCTGCGGAAAATTAGAACTAGAATAGATATGTAAGCATTCTTTTCCCTTGTTTTAACCATGCATCTGACTGTGTTTGTGAAGCTTCATGCATTTGTATTGTATGAATTGCATGGTGTTGGTTTGTTAACTGGGTTGCTGGTTGGAGTTGCTTGTTTTAATTTGCTTATGTACATGGTTATGCAACATGTTCTTATGAATTTTCATGGTGAAAAATATATGCATTGGTGATTTCAATAGAATTATGGTGATTCTGTAGAATCCAATTAGAATTATAGAAGAATTATAAATACCGTCTAGATTGAGTTAATGCTGCATCATATCCACACGTTATTAGACAAATAGAAATTCTGTTCACATCATCGAATTACTAGTTATGAGTATTGGTAATCTTCTTCTTTCCTTCATAGGATTTGATATAATTGCTTTTATTATATTAATTCTTCAATTCAATGTTCACTGAAGTTTTTCTTTCTATTTTGGTGCGTAAGATGAAAAACAAGAAGCAGAGCAAGTCTGAGACCTCTTAAAGGCTACATCTTAGACATACATATGCATTTTCTCAGCGAAAAAGTTCATAAAAGCTGTGATGGATTGATTGTAGGATTAAATTTAAATTGGATTTTGCACTTTGCAGAGTTGATGTGAAGCTTCCCACTATAGAAGTAAGATATAAGAATTTGCATGTGGAAGCTGAGTGTGAGGTTATCCATGGAAAGCCCCTACCAACTCTGTGGACATCTTTTCAGCGCATGTTCCCTGTAAGTAATTTCATTTTCCAACAATAGTTTGAGAATTTGGCAATTGACCTTGTGATTGGTTTCTGGAACAAAAAGAGGGTGGGTGTTGTATTTTCAAGTAAAGGAGAGTTGAATAAACGTTAAAACTGTACCAACCACAAAGCGAGCATAGGTTGTCATATTGTCATAGTTAATGCAAAACAGAAAAAAAAAAAAAAGTAAAATAAATTTTAATGTAGATGCTGATGTTCAATGACTAACGACACTATAACAGTGTAGTGAACCCAAATGATTCTATTTTATGATCTTGTTTACATCTCTAGTTTACCGTAAGTAATGTACAGAAGATCAGGAATATCCATTCTATAGGGTTTCCATGTCCCGCTGTTCCTAAATATGTTAGCGTGCTGTTTAGACTGCTTAATTTACACGCTTCATTTTCCAGGATGTTATGAGGCTCTCAGGTGCCAAGTCTCATGAAGCCAAGATAAGCATCCTTAATCATGCCAGTGGCATCATAAAGCCTGGAAGGTATAAGAGAATCATTAGTCAAATAAACTGTTCTTTCTTGGCTTCTTGCTCTTAAAGAGTCATTGTGCCAGACAGCTGCTTTTCTTTATTCTCTTTACTTCACTTTTGGAAGCATAGATTTGATGCATGGTGATGGTGTTGCGTTGCTTGCTGATGTCAATAAATCCTGTCAGGACCTTTTCTTTTGAAGCCAACTGATTTTGTCTTTGTACTTTAGTTGTTGCCATATGCCTAGGAGCAATTTCCTCCTATCTTCATTAATTAACTTTTCTTTGTAGGATTTGTTATAAAGGGAAATTTGAAAGTTGAATTCCTCATGTGACAGGAAGAAAAATACTTAGCAGTCTTGAATGTATTTGCAGGATGACTCTACTGCTTGGTCCCCCTGGATGTGGGAAGACCACTCTTTTAAAAGCTCTGTCTGGAAATCTGGACCAGTCTCTCAAGGTTTCATACTTCTTATAACTTGGTTTTCAACTTTTTACTACACTGTTGCACGTCTCTGTATTATTAGGACCAGGTTCAGTTCAGCCTCTTTAGTTCCAACTCCAGTGCAGACTCCCAGCCCAAGCTTCCCATAATTTTATTCCATAGATTAACTATCTTCCATGATCCGGGTTCCATTGCTCGGGTGTAGCTTTTAAAACTTAAAATGTGGACACAGCAAAAGAGCATGTTATCTTGTTCAGAAAAGATTCTCAGTCGGATTGCATTGTGAAATTGAAAGCTGCTGTACAACTTTAAATGGATGAATGCGTGCCTACCCTTCTCTTCCACTCCGAATATTTGAGTTTTTGTCCAAATTAGTGTTTTCAATTCTTTTCTTGTTCCTTTTCTGAAATAGGTCACTGGAGAAGTCTCATACAATGGTTATGGACTAGAGGAGTTTGTTCCTCAGAAAACTTCCGCTTATATCAGCCAAACTGATCTGCATATTGCTCAGATGACAGTAAGAGAAACTCTTGATTTTTCTGCCCGTTTCCAGGGTGTTGGAAGCAGAGCCGGTTAGAATTCTTTGACGTTGAGTAAATTTTAGTTAACCAAGAGACTTTTTATTGATGCCTAAAGTGATCAAAACTACATAACATGATCTTTTTCTGCCTATGAAGAGATTATGATGGAAGTCAGTAGGAGGGAGAAGGAAGCAGGAATTGTACCAGATCCTGATACTGATACTTACATGAAGGTGAGTTTAGCATCCTTTGTTGTTTTCTCTTATGATGGTGACCTGAGCTGTAGAAATGAAGTTGATGTGCATGAATCAATGTAAAATATTATATGACTGTTCATGTCATTCTGTTCCAAGGTTATGTATGTTCTTTATACGGTTCACAATATTACGAACTTGACATTTATTTCTGTGGTTTTTCTTCACAGGCAATATCTGTCAAAGGACTAAAAAGAACACTCCAGACCGATTACATTTTAAAGGTAATGTTTTAGACAGAAATGGATTCTACCTTCTTTCCGAAGTATGATAAATTGAGAATGTTAAATCTGAAAGTATTTCAACTGTCTTGGTGGCTTTCCAGATCCTTGGACTTGATATTTGTGCTGACACATTTGTTGGGGATGCCATGATGAGAGGCATATCTGGAGGTCAGAAAAAGAGATTGACTACAGGTAGGTTTAAAGGTTGAAGTTGAGATAATGCACACTCTACTGGGTGTTTTTCACATAACTGCATAACTGAACTTTTAACTGCAAAGGATTCATTGTAGTGCTTTCTGAGCAACCAATTTTCCAACTGACTTATATACATGCAGGGGAGATGATTGTAGGCCCCACAAAAGCTTTGTTTATGGATGAGATAACAAATGGTCTAGACAGTTCCACTGCATTTCAGATTGTTACTTGTCTTCAGCAGTTGGCGCATATCACCGATGCAACTTTACTGGTTTCACTTCTTCAGCCAGCTCCAGAAACCTTTGATCTCTTTGATGACATTATTTTGATGGCTGAGGGGAGAATTATTTATCATGGTCCGCGTGAGAATATTCTAGAATTTTTCGAGGATTATGGGTTTAGGTGTCCTGAAAGGAAAGGGGTCGCAGACTTCATCCAGGAGGTAAGAGCATGTTGTTTCTGGCCATTGCCTTCACACATGCTCTAGTTTCATCAGGTTTAAGTAGTTGGTTTGATTTTTTGATTTTGCAGGTTGTATCTAAAAAGGATCAGGCACAATACTGGAACAGCACTGAATTACCGTATGGTTATTTTTCAGTTGATATGTTTACTAGGAAATTCAAGGAATCCAGTCTAGGAAAGAAGCTTGATAAGGACTTATCGATACCATATGATAAATCACATAGCCACAACAATGCCCTGTCCTTTAGCCGATATTCCCTTTCCAAATGGGAATTGTTTAGAGCTTGCATGTCCAGAGAACTTCTTCTCATGAAGAGAAATTCTTTTGTTTACGTTTTCAAAACAAGTCAGGTTATAATTCTTGCTTCCGCATCCTTTCGTAGCCTGTCATAGTTATAGCATTAAACTAATTCGTGTAAGGCCTTGAAATATTGAAACATGTTAAGATCTTTGTTCCTGCAGCTTATCATTGTTGCATTAATCGCAATGACTGTATTTTTGCGGACTCGGATGCATATTGATATCCTTCATGGCAACTACTACATGGGCGCCCTTTTCTTTTCTCTTGTCATACTTACTGTTGATGGGATTCCAGAGATATCT